CGTTGCATTTGGTGTATAATAATATAACGCGCACTGCACCACGTATATATGCTTTATTTTCGTTCATTTCGTTTCGGAGAAAAACCGTTTCCCGGACCAAGGACGTCATACTCTGCTCGTCCTCGTCGGAGGATGTCGTGTGTGTGAAGCATACGATACAAACGCGAGCCGGAGGGCTGACCCTAGAGATTTTCGTCCTGTAAAATATAAAATGTACGTAGGTATTGCATATATCACGGTCGGAGGCATATGCCTTGTAGCCGAGCGGTGTATACCTATTATTATTTTGATCCGGTATACACGCATTATTGACGAGAGTATTATACAGATTCCTGTGGCGGATAGAAAACGGCAGGCGCAACACCTGTAGTGTACCTACATGTCCAGGTATATAGTGGTTAATGGTATATACTTATTCGGTTATGTATACGTTGTCGACCGCTATAGAAAGACGTGCACGCCGTTATACTCTCTGGCCGCCGAAGGGGGTGCTGGAAAAGGGTTATTATAATATTAATTTGACGTCATTGGCCCCTTCGTTACGTGATACGAGGACACGCGCGGGAAGTAATAGGTACTCGTTATTTTTATACAGGTACACAATGTATTATTACGATGTGTTGTATGTTTAAAACGAGACGACTTTCGAAGTACGAGATATAATTATACTACAATAACGCTCGTCAAAACGTTTTTTCGACCAAACGTTCAAACGCCGAATAAATCTAACACATAATAATATTGCAATATATTACATGGAATAAAATATTACGCCCGGAGGACTCTACCGCGCGCGATAGCGTCTCCGTCCGGCCCCAGCGAGAAGTCACTGGCTGCGAGTCGCCACAACAAGTCGCTTCTCCGTCGTAATTATTACTGTACTGCGTACGATATACGTGCACGATAATAATATTATAACTGCAGATTCGCGTGATCTATACTCACAGGATTGCCACTCAAAATCGGTTCGCGTGCGCCAAACGGTTTCCCGCGTTACGCGAATAAATCACGCCACAGCCACGCGTTTCCCAGGCCGTACAATATAATATTAACAAACCGCCCCTCCCCCCTCCCCTCACTATAATAATTCTCCTCTGAGAGTTTCGCCGGGGACGCACACACAACCATAGGAAATGCAATGTCAGCAAAAACTCGCTCATGTTACACAACTGCCGCCGCCGTGTCTGTGAGCGGTTAATAATTAGCTAAATAATTTCAGGTACAAATTCTCGTTCCGTGTGTAGTTTCCGAGTATCGGAACGGATATTGTTAATTAAATTTACAGTATGCTTTCGAAAGTTTTGATTGCAAAAATCGACGAATAGTTGCCTAAAAACCGCGTATTTGCGCGGATTCGATGTCGAAAAATGTATATAGGTACATTTTCCTTTGAAAAGCGTACAATGTTGTTATAATTTTGAACGCGAAAATTACAAACTATATATAAAAAGGGGCAGATTGAGAATTGTTGTGGTCATATAAATCGATACTTGTCAATCTATACAGGTCTAAAAATAATGTCTAACGGTACCTATTGTATCGTCATGCTTTTATTATCACAATTTTACACTAAGAATCTCGCGCAGTATAGACATGAACGATTTTCGAACACATAAATTAGTGCGATACCGCGAAAAAACGGACTGTTGTAAAATATCAGGTAAGGCAACAATTATTTTAACTAAAGACGACAATATGTGTGGGGAGAGAGGGGAGCTAGGAATCAAACGCTCCTAAATAATACAGTTTTGGATACTTTTTCCGTCTAAGAAAACCTGACATGGCGTGTGTAGACTTGTAGTATATTATGCGCCATTAGAAAAATAATCCCCCCTCCCCTCAAGATAAAAATGTACATTCAATTTGTGTCTATCGTCTAAAACCCTAAACGGATGATATAAAACGTATTACTATAATTATTGAGGTGCGTTTTCTGTTTAGGTAGACGTCCGCGGAGGCACTTTGCAGCTCAGTTAGCGTTTCATTGCAAGAAATTAATCCAATTACACTGCAAGCATATATAGTGATGGCGCCGTGCTGGCAAACTGTACTATACATTTTGGGTGCAGCTCCGACTTCGATTTTCATCAAGCCGTTTACTTCTTAGATAATAATATATTCACTATATATGTAATTTGTATTCGCGTGTTAGACTCGATCCGAAGCATATACATGTATAATATATTATATCGCGCGCGCGCGCGTGTGTGTGTGTGTAGGTATTACGTGTGTGTATGTATATGTACATGTGCAGCCGCACTGCAAATGCCGGCTGACAGGAGTTTCATTTGTCAAAGTACGAAATTCCGCTTTTCCGAGACACTGTCGTCGTCGACTTGTCGTTCGTCTCGGATCCGACGAGAAACCAATATACCGTCCGATTCCGTCAGCGAGTGCATATTATTATACGATAAGGTTTACCTACTTTGAAAGTATTATTGCGGCGCGTCAACGCATATTGTGGAGGAATACAAGAGGGATGATGGTTACGGCTGCTGACAGGGAGCGGAAAGTTATAAATTATAATATTATGGAAATAAATTTGGTCCCGGTGGCAAATTTCTCGGGAAAATCGTCGTCACCGATGCCGGCGTCGCCACTCCTTAATAATAATGTGATGATATGATTTTTCACAAAAATAATATAAAAATCGTGTGCGTCAAACCTTTTTTTTTTTAAAAAAACGAAAATTTAATATTTATCGATATTTTATAGTATACCTGTGTGATCTAAAGTGCTCACAAGCTGTACGACTTACGAGCAAAACGGAAGGAAAAAAATTACAAAAAAGTCGCCGCGATTACAGCAGTACCCATAGGTATATCCGTAATAATCGACGGACACCGTGCGTGTTGGCTTGACATAAAGCGGCGGCGTACATGCATAAATCGTGGTAACAAAAATTATACTACCACTACGGTATATAATTATTATTATAACCTCACATACTATTGTAATTTACGGAGTAAATTGTTTATTATGTTTTTCTGTTTCTTTCTTTGTTCACTGGCGTATCACAATGTCGGCGGGACAGATTTAATCGTTTCGATACATTTTTAAGTAACAACAACAACTATAGCGATTATTAGGTATTACACGCGAACTAAAAAATATTAATCAGTTTGCGGTTGCACAATCCAAACAAAAAGAAAAATGAAAATGAAAAAAAATACACGCCCGACATTTATAATGTTATTATTATTATTACAATATCGATCCGATAATATAATGTCGTAGCAGAGCGCATTGTATCGCATAATAACAATCATGATATTTTGACTTATGATTTAAAGGGGGTCGAACGATATGAACGATAATGGGCCAGTGATAAATGTTAAGACTTAATGGATCTCTTATATGATTTATATATGTATTTCGTACCACCGCAGTCATATATGAAGACTTATGCTTGTCGAAACGTGTTTTACGACGATTTGGTTCTCTTTGCGATTCCAGACGCAATTTTCTCCTATGGTACGACCATTATATATATACGCGATCTCCAGGGCATTTAAAATACGATTATTGTCGTTTCGAAAGTCACATCGCGATGCAATCGAACACGTTTTATTTGAGGGCCGTCGTACCATCGGAAAATTAAATACATATTTTTTTGTTAAAAAATGATATTATTTTTTTTCTGTTTTTGCCGATAAGTGAATCACGGCTGTCATCTCGTTTGATTGAAATTAAAGACATTTTTTTTTTATCACGTGGCACAGCGTCACTTGAGCAAAACGATCCGGCGCCAGACACATCACGGTGCAGTGAGTTTTTTAATGTAGTGTTTCAAGAAAAAAAAATTGTTCGACCGGCGTGAAATGAATGATATTTTTTCGAGGCGCTTTTGGAAATACGCTCTCTGCGTAGGAAGGTAACCCGAAATTCATTTTATTCGGTGTCGTCCGATTGTCTCTCGGATAAGTTTGTTCCGAAATCGTCGCCGAGAAAACAAAAAGAAATAAATTACTGTTCTATAGAAACACACGGCGAAATCTTCTTCAACTAACAGATTCACGGAATCTGGATAACAGATGAGATCTCTGAAAAGTGTGAACTCACTGAGTTGACGACGTACATTCTTACAGGCCCCTGCACTGCGTTTTCTAAATTATAATAATGTAGGGTTTTTAATTGAATTTTTTTTATGTTTTTCTTATTTGATTTATATCGCTGAGTAAGCTATGAATTAATTTTATTTCATAACGAACGAAACATCAAAAGACAAAAGTTATAAAATATTAAATGCGTATTTTGGAAAATGTAAAGATTTTTTAATTTTAATGACACATTTTCTCTTCTTACGACTCGTACCGCTTATTCAATGATTCTAGTACATGATTTGATGTTAAAATTTGATAAGTGACAAATAATAATATGATCAGATGTACCTACTTTGTAAATTAAAAAAAGACATTGAGTTTATATGACCGACTTCCATGAATTCATTACCAACAATACATTTTGTAGGTACTTCTAATAAAAAATAATTATGTATCTTTTTATTCTATGAAAGGACCTGCTAAGCTTACTATGAATTTCAATCTAAAAACCCAAAAATCCTAGAATAAGTAAACACCGAGCAAGTATATATTTTTATTTTCCTCATGCCATATTTGAAAGTTTTTTTAGTAGGTACACCTTATTGGAGCATTCTATAGACCGATGCCTAAAGCTTAGCTATTACATTAAAAAAAACATACAGAATCATAAAAAACGTACAACTATTGTCTATTGTTGGTGTAATTGAATGACAGTTACAGTTTCATCGACAGCGGTTGTCATCGCAATAAAATACTGTTATGATAAACAAAAATTTTTCGGCCATCCGATCGGGGCACCTGTGATTTTCAGACAAAAATGTATCCAGAAACGATAATATTACTGTGTCTGCGTGTTTGCTTCGTGTCGGCGTCTTCGTCGAGTAAGATAGCGAGTTGGGATTACGTTCATCATACCGGTACGTCGAATCCTGACCACGTGGTAACGCCCTATTGTAGGGCAGTGACGTGCAACGGAAATACCAACACGCCCGACTCCGACACGACACTGGCCAACCACCGATCACCGCCGTGGAGGCAGTGCCACTGTTATCCGTGCACTCGCTGTCCACCGCCGTCCACCCGTTGTCCACCACCGCCTACCTGCCGCCCACCGCTCACCCGCTATCCACCGTTCACCCGCTGTCCACCGTCCACTCGCTGTCCACCGTCCACTCGCTGTCCACCGTTCACTCGCGGTACGCCGCCACCTACCCGCTATCAACCTCCGCCAACCCGCTGCCCGTCTCTGCCAACCCGTTGTCCACAGCCGCTGACGTGCACGTGGGTATCGCAGTATCCGTTCGCTAGCCGTCGGAAAACAAAGCCGTGCTCGACCCGTCGGACGACACCGCTGTGCCCTAGTGGTCGGACGACACCGCCGCCGTGCCCCACTCTTCGGCGGACGCCATCGCCGTGCAAGACTCGTCGGGCGCGACCGCCTCGTACGACCAACGGTCGGACGTCATCGCGGCGCACCACCTGCAGCCGTACGCCACCGCCGTGCATGACTCGTCGGTCGCCACTGCCGTATACGACTCGTCGGACGCCACCACCGTGCATTGATCGTCGGATATCACTGCCGTGCACGACCTGTCGGACGTTTCATACTTCGGAAATCAGAAAGACGCAAACAGGCCGCCGGCATAGAACTACCGTGTGCTCAAGCAACCACCAATGTAAATCGTCTTCGAAGATGCCCATCAGGAATTGCACCTGCTAGGTGGTCCTTCTTTAGTTTAATCGAATTGTTGTGTTTTTTTTTTTGAGGAATTATTACTATAGTTATTAAGTTAAATATTATTGGGGAATGGAACTGGGGTACTGTTCGTATTATCGAAAAATTTTTTTTTATAATTGGGTGGCACGCAAGCATACCTATAACAGAACAGTACCGAAACCAGGAGGGGGTATCTAAATATGAATTGTAATTCAATAAAAATTTGATTTTACAAAATAAAATGTTCCTCGAAAATCAGGAAAAATAAATAAAAGGGGACAGTTGATAAAAGTGTGGTGTTTTGAGCATCGAGTAAGCTTTATTGCTGTGTATAGGTATATTAGACAGCTTCAATTATTGGGTCTGTGACGACCGTTCGTAGCTAGCGATCGATTTATACTATTCCTAATTGACTGAGATACATTTGAATTTTGCTAGGATGTATTAAAGCCCTTTTTATGTGAATATTTCTGGTTGTGCGATACGTACTTGCAATTTCAATTACTAATTTCGTGGTATAAGATGTTTTTAAAAATGGTTCCTTTTCGTATTTAAACAAAATAAGTACTCTAATAAGTAATAATCAATACAATTGATGTATTAAATTAATTTTACTTAAAATGTTTAATATAAAAATATTTATAAAATTGTGTTCAAAAATAAAAAAATAAATAAGTCATTTGCTGTATAATATTATTTTGTAATACTAAGACAAAAAAAGGACCGCCTAAATTCTACTGTACAATAAGGGGCGTAGAATAAAAAATTGTCTGATCCACTGTACTATCTTGTTATATCTACGAATTGTTCCACCAATACGTATCACACTAATCGGCAATCGGTGACCTAAATTGTTGATAGGTAGCAAAATGTGTGAATAGAAAAATAATATTTATATAAAAAAAGATCAATTTACATTTTCTTTGAAATGTAATTTTTGATGAAATTGAACACTTGTAACTTATCAACCTTAAATATCTACATCATTATTCTTTTAAAATGCCAGGCAAAATTCAAAAATGATTATTACACGTAGTATGAATACATTTATATGTATATACTATTAATTGATTACATTTTTAAAAATATTATCGCTTGTTTTGTTATTCTTTGATTTAAAATGTACCTATTCCAAATCATATTATTTAAAAATAAAACAATTTAATTTTTATCAGTCGCTTAATGTTTTTGTAAGCTATTTAAAAAATACAGTTCTTTAAAACTGTTGGTTCAAAATTCAAAATTCAATATTTTGAATTATTCTATAAGTAGATACCCACAGAACCACAAAAGCACTCATATCGAAATCAGAATATTAAGCAGCTATTTGTTTCAAATCGGTTTATCAATGGTTTGGTTCTAATAGTTTCTGGCATCGAAATAATTTTTTGATTATAACATAAAAACTAAAAAAATATTATGAAAGTGAGTGAGTGTAGTGAATTAAAGCTGGAAACAGAATGAACGTCATGAGGTGATCGGGTGGGCAACACAGGGCAAGTATCTACCGCCCTGCTGTAGTTACATTAGTGTGGTGTGGTTCACAGTAACGGATGAGTAATTTTAATTCAATGTATTATATTATTATAATTGTATACGAAAAGCGATTCTGAACTAAGACAATCTGTCTGCCTATATATATATATATATGTTATGTATTTTGCATTGCTATTAAAGCAGTTTATTTAACTATAAGGCCCTATAGTAATCGTGAATTTTTAAAACGTCATTATTTCACCTGTGCATAAAATATAATTATACTATACGTTAAATATTACTAATAGGTACCGCAAATAAGGTTTTTAAATTCCAAAAAAAAAAAAAAGAAAACCGTTATTCTTTTTCATACACACTCACAAAGAATAAAAAAGACACGTCAAAGCCATTACTTCTCTCAAAATCTGAAATAAAAAACACAAGATTGTGAAACTAATACATTCTTTGCTTCACTTTTAGAAACTCAAATGTTTTTATATTTTACATCGGTATGCAAGGTTTATAATAGTATAATAAATTATAAAACTAACGTTTTCGGAATATCATAAAAAAAAACTTAAAACCTTAAAGTACTAGGAAGGTAACGATTACGTGCAACCTTGGGCACGAATAGTGGAGGTCGTGTTCGTGCCATGGACAATCGACGACATGTGGTGGAAGCCGTAATTGGGCGGTTGGTGGTCGTGGCGGTCACCGTCCAAATCCTAACCGGCGGCGGCGTCGCGTTTGGTAGCATCCACGGAAACTCGTTCGACTCTTCGTCGATGACATCCAATGACGGGGGACAGACCGTGGTCGTGGTACACGGGGGTAGTGTCGTGAGTAAGGAAGTCGGTGACGGCGGCGGTGGAGGTGGTGGTGGAGGTGGAGGTGGAGGTGGTGATGGACATGGTGTAGACGACGTTGTCGACGGCGGCGGTGGTGGAGTCGGAGGTAGCGACGGACATTGTGTAGACGAAGTTGTCGGCGGCGGTGGTGGAGACTGACGTGGCGATGAACATAGTGTTGGCGGAGGTGGCAACGGGCATGGTGTAGACGGCGGCGGCGGGGATGGAGGTGACAACGGACATGGTGTAGATGGAGGCGGTGGTGGAGACGGTGGTGGCGTTGAACATGGTGTACACGACGGCGGTGGTGGAGATGGAGAAGTCGACGGGCATGGTGTAGACGGAGAAGTCGACGGACATGGTGTAGCCGACGGCTTGCGGAATGGCCACCGCTGCAATATCGGAATTTGGAACGTGAGCTTTGGCGGCTGTGGACGGCACGTGGTGGTTACCGGAAGTGACTGACAGTCTTCTTTTTTCGGGGTGGGCGTGTTCTCAACATTGTCGCACGGTGGGGTCCCGACTGCCATTTTGGCGGTAGTGCTTGCAACATCGTCGCACGGCTGGGTCCCGGCTCCCATTTTGGTGGTAGACGACGGGTAAACGTAATAATAATAATAATTGTAGATTACTATCGTTCCCGACGAAGACGGAAATACGTACCACATGAACACCAACAGTTTTAAGTACATATTTGTTGAGTTATCGTTTGTGCGAATGAAGGTGATCGACAGTGAGGATTGAGAAAGAAACTTTTGTCTTGAACATTATGTGTGTTAGCGGATATTTCTGGATAACGGTAATCATCTACGTTAACTATGGTAATGCGATGATAACAGCAGTATAGTTGTTGAGAGAAAAATCCGTTTGGCCAGTGCGCTTAATTAAACAACTCTGACAATGCAGCAGTAACACTATCATAGAACTGCAATGACCATAATATAGCCATATCGATGGCTAAATATACTTATTTAGCCATGGCCATATCGAAATAAATATGTAGTTTACAGTTGTGAAAAAACGGCCACCAAGAACATGTCTTATGCGCGGACATCCAACTTCAATCAAACACACGATTACCAAATGTAGAGACACGCGAGAGGCCCCCACCCGACAAAAATACAATATACCTGAACACGTTCACGACGCACTGGGACCCTACGAAGAATTCATCAAAAATATCTTTTTACTCGTGAAAGACATTGCAAATTGCACAATTCAATAACAATTATTCGAGTACCGTATATTATGTAAGACAAACCAACGGTCACGTCGTCAAGGCTTTCTTTTTTAACGAGAATAAACAATAATAAAAAGAAATGTGATATAGCGATGACGACGTGTCCAGCTCCGAAAAGTTGATTTACACCACAGCGGTGTAGCTAAATAGCCTATACAACGCGCCGCCGTTATAATTAGTTTGTAATCGAACGGCCGGAAAATTATTGATCACGTCGGCAATGCCCGTGCCGGGCTTGGCCGAACAATTTAAATCTTCAAAAAAAAAAAAAAAAAACGGTGAAGAAATTACAGACAAGATTTTCGGATCGGATCAATTTTGAGCTTTCGAGAAGTATTACGCTTGAAATATAAAAGCGATGCGTCGGTACCGACCCGTATCGGACTGAGATTTCGACGCGAGTCGATGCGACGACCTACGTGACTATTCATCACCGACAGGTATCGAATTTTTCGTCTTGAAAATCTTGAATGCCATTGCACAGCTGCGATGTGATACCTATAAATTAACGAGATCGGCAGCCTGCTCACGGCCGGAAACGGTCGTGATAGAATACTCTGACAATTCGTCCGTTATTAAAACTATTTTTCCGACAAGACGTGTAATCATGTCCAAACACGTATGTATTGTGTGTTGAAGGTATTTGTGAAGCCAAGTCAAACTTACCAATTATGATGGTCTGTTGTTACTATCTTAGAGATTACGATTCGCGTAGATGGGTACATGCACCCTTTGAGATACATTTTGCCGTGCACGTCTTATCGCGGCAGTGATTTTGAACAAAGTCAGAACTAATAATTGAATAACCGGAAGGTAATATTAGTAGATGAGAGTAATCCATAAATTTCAAGTTGATATGTGTTAAATTCGATCGGTTTTTATAACAATTATTCTACACCCCTACACTCTTAGAGGTTGGATTGTGATCACATATTTCTGTTATAATATGAGGTGCGATGAACAATATAATATTAAATTGTGTAAGCAAATCTTTCCGGTTTAGTTCAGTAATAATTCATTTTCTGTCGTACAGCCGGTATGAGTATTGAGAAAATTTCATTTTTTTTTATACACAACATTTTCCGCGGTTACAATAAATTATTATTGCAGATCGTCTTTTGGCAAGATACCGTATGATTATTGCAACGGTCGTTGTATTTTTTTTTCTCAGCCGAGAGTCACCTCTCATTCGGTCTGCACATTTAAATATAATATATTATATCCTATATCATCATAATATACCCACACGGTTCTTGTGTTTATTTTCAATTTGCACCCGATCACGATGCGAAATACAATAAACTCGGATGTCGAAGAATAGTAATTGTTTAGCGCATTGATAACAATACGTTCGGGTGGCGTATTTTACATATTATAAATATATTGCAATATACGTGTACTACATACACGGAATAAATTCGAATCGCATACGTAATAAGTCATCCAATTTAGTTGACGCGGATTGAGATAAATCGGGTTTTCCTGTTATTCGCATAATATATAATATAATGATCGTGTTCTTCGTGCCGGTTTTTTTTTTTTTTGCCGAGCAATACCCGCCCGATTCATTTCATTCTCCAGTCGGTTATAGGCGAAGCTGCCGCGTTAGTATAACAATATTTAGCACGGACGTATGCGTGAAACGAACTGTCATCAATTTCTGAACGCGTCTCGTACCTTATAACCGATTATTTCAACGGTAATAAATAAATTACGGCATTAACAATTTAAAAACGAGACGACGTCGCCCGATTTTATATTATTATCATAATAACGCATAATATTATACAGGTGCTATTTGCAACGTTCGAAGACGAACGAAACGCATTTTTCGGAATTACAATATAATAACATAGGTAATATGCGATCGCAGTAGTTGACTCTATAAGACATAAATTATGTTTATTAGCTTTATTAATGGCTATACAATATTTTATAATATGTAAAACACGTGTTTTATATATGTTTAAATGGGCGAAATGACAAGGTTTTATATAAAATATAAAATACGTACCTATATATGCACAAAATGTATTAATAATTATGTCGCTTCAATTATATATGATTTAATTTAAAAAAAAAACAATTTTAGCAGTTTATTTTCAATACGATATGTCAATATACTCTTAGGGCCGCTTTCACCAACGTAAGAACGGCGTTTATCTTTTTTTGAAAACGCCGATTATCTATTTAAACGAATTAATTAATTTAAACGGATTTCACCAAGATCGTTTAACGCTAAACGTCAGTTATAAGATAACCGTCCAATTTCAGTCGGTTATAGTGATAAACCCGGTTTATAATATATTATTAATCCGTGCTACGTATTTTTTTGTAGCTACCGTTTTACTACTGTTTTTTTTTTAACTGTTTGTGCTTCATCGTTTTAACTATGTCTCGCGCTCATAAGCGTGCATTTGCACTTGTTCTCGAGGAAGAATATGACGACTTTGATGATATTTTCGTGAATCGCCGTCCTAGGTTTATCAAGGAAAGGACGAACGATTTTGAAAACCTAGATGAACTAGATTTCGTGACACGATATCGGCTGTCAAAGAAGTCAGTTCTTCACGTATTGGAACAAATAGAAGATCAGCTCGAATACAGTAGTAACAGGTAAGTCAGTTTTTTGTACGGTAAAGTATGGCAATCAGGGCCGTCCCGAACCACAATTCATGGGGGGTGGTAGACCTACTCAAAAAATTATGTACCTATTTAAAATCTATAGGGTAAGTGGATGTCGCTCTGCTTTACAGTAGGTTACAAGTGAGTCACTGTAATGGATTGTGTTAAATTTGAATCCAATGATATAATATCATTGTATAAGAAAAACGATTCTGAGCGAAAACAGTCAGTCTACCTATAATATATATTACTTGATGATATTATTGTGAATAAAGTAATTAATTTTAGTATTAGGCATTAGTATTTACTATAATTGGTTAAATTTATTTTTCCCAAAAAAATTACATTTTTAAATGCCATTGAATATATTATATAAAATATAACAATACACTCTAAAAGCTTCATACACCAACAAATAATATTTTTAAATTATAACAAAAAAACTAAAATTGTTATTCTTGGTTTTAATACGTAATTGTGTCCAATTTTGAATTTAAAATGTTTGTAAAAAATAAATGTGTTTACTTTGTACAGAAATAACGGCGTGTCTCCAATCAACCAACTTCTATGTACCCTAAGGTTTTATGCAACCGGGTGCTTTCAAGGGACAGCAGGAGACCTATGTGGTGTCAGTACTGCGACAGTAAATAGGATAGTGCATAAAGTCAGTCGGGCCATAGCTTCATTGTGGCGAGATTATATTTTATTCCCTGAGACAGATGAAGAAATTAAAAGGACTCAAAGGATGTTCTATCAGAAAGCTAAATTTCCAAGAGTCATCGGTGCTATAGACTGCACCCACATTAAATTCTGGCAATCGCCAGGTATGTGCCCAAAATTGCTTATAAGATGGGTAGGTTCCTAGTTATTTTGTACAAAAAATTTAACTGATTAAAAATTATGATACCAGTTGCGTTCAGTTAACTTTTGGCTTTGGCACCATTGATTTACTTAAAAAAATAACCCATATTTTCATTATGGTTTCAGGTGGTGAAGTACCAGAATCCTATAGAAACAGAAAAGGCTACTTTTCTCTCAATGTCCAAGTTATCTGCAATTCAAATTTAGAAATCACAGACATTGTAGCCAGATATCCTGGATGTACTCACGACGCCCGAATATGGAGGCAATGCCAACGTAGGGCCAGGTTTGAGAGAGGAGAGTATGGGGACGCTGTGCTGGTAGGGGATAGTGGGTACGGTTGCCGAAGATACATGATGACCCCTCTAGATCAGTGTCATACTGAAGCTGAACATCTTTATAACGAGTCGCAAATCCGAACGAGAAACACTGTAGAACGAACGTTTGGGGTTTGGAAGCGACGTTTTCCTGCATTAGCCATTGGACTACGAGTTACGCTGAAAAACATATTGCCGATAATAACAGCAACTGCTGTTTTACATAACATAGCAAGAAGAGCTGGCGAAGATATTCCTATTAACTCTGAAGTTAATCTACCCGCTCCTTGGGAGGAGATCCTCGTTCAGGATGATATTCCTGTACCTCTTCAAAGAGACCTACCTCATCGAAGAATCACACAAGACAACAGAGAACGTCAAACACTGGTGGATGTATATTTAGAAAGAATGGTTAGGTTATAAATTCTATTTACATTACTTGCAAGATAAGTTTGTGCTATTAACCTTATTGAAATATATATTATTTTATATTACAATTCTTAATAAATAATAAACTCAATAAAAAAAAATCATGTTTTTGTATAAAATGTTGTCATTTTTTTAATTATGGCTTTTAATTACAATTGATAACATTTTATTTAGGTCAGTAATTACATTAGAAAGTTTTACTTGCATAATAATGTAATAAAACAAAATAGGTAGTCTGTCCAACATATTATTATATAGCTTTTGTCATAATTATTTAAAACAAATACCTTTTTTCGCATATTAAAATAAACAAATTAAAAATTTTATATGGTAACAAAGGAACTATAGTTTTTGATTAGTAATTAAAAAGATATCACAAAAACTCTTTTCGCATATAATAAAATAATAAAAATAAAATAACTAACACTTTATGTAGTAACAAAGGAACCATAGTTTTTGATTACTTAGGAACTTAATTAATAATTAAAAATTATATAACAGAAACTGCTTACAATAAAATAATTAAAATATAACAATATTATATATATACAAAAATATAATAGTACTTAATACCTGACTCCCCCATTAGTCATTTTTTATTGTATATTCCACCATGTCACCAATTTTCTTATCAAGATCAAATCTAAGAATTTCAGTTTTCAATTTTTCTTGTGCCAATTTCTCTTTTTCCACTTCCAACTTAACTTTTTCATATTCAAGTTGGATTTCCAAGATTTGAATAGAAATAGCATGCTCTTTAGTAGCTTCTTGGGTCGCTGATGTTAAAGTACATAATTTAGCTTCTACTAAAGCTTCTGTTTGAGGTCG